CCTGGTGCTCCAGTGCAGCAGCCCAGAGACAAGCTTGCTCTCCTGACTTTGCCATCATCAGCCACCAAGGAACAGAAAGCTAAGCCAGCTGCTCCCTCCTTCATTGCTGGAGATATCTGAGGGAGGTGTGGGATGTGAGTCCATCCTTTGAGGATGCTCACCAAGGCAAGAGACACAGGTTGCCCAGGGAAGCTGTGGCTGCCCCATCTCTGGCAGTGCTCAAGGCCAGGTAGAGCAACCTGCTCTATTGGAAGCTGCCCCTGCCCGTGGCAGGGGTTAGAACTGGATGAGCTTTAAGATCCCTTCCAACCCAAACAATTCTGTGATTCTGTGATGTCCATGGGATGGATTTGAGTCAGGGCTGGGCACTCCCAGCAACGTGCAACACCGTTTCAGACAGAGCTGCCTGCAAGCATTTGTGTCACCCACACATGGCTGCCCAAGGTGAGAAGAATCAGGTCCCCAAGGAACAGGCTCCAGCGTATTGGCTTCATCCATGACCGGGCAGCGCCGGCAGCAGCACGGTGCTGGGCTCAGCTCTGCATGGAGCTGCCAACAGCGAGGATGCTGTGCGGCCCCGAGCCCTGCCGTGGCCGGTGAGACGCTGCTGAGTGACAGCAAACACCAGCACCGCACCGAGAGGCAGAGCGGGCTGTGACAAACACTCACTAGAAAATAATAAAGTGGCAAAATAATTCTGCATCGGACACACTTACCAGAGCATAAAGAGTCTGAAAAGGAGACAACATCTTGTATCATCTATCTTCCTTAAATACCCAAGCTGTGACAAAGTGGAAAGCAAAATTATGATGAATGATCGGACATATTTAGTCTGTACCTGTGCTCTTTAACTAGGCCTGGTGAAATGGGTGCTAATGAAAAGCAGAACACCTACCAAAAAGAGGAGATTTCATTGAAAACAAGTCTTTATTACAAATTGGCACTTCGTTTTCATAAAGTGCATAATGAAGGTGCATATTGTGACATAAATTAAAACAGGCAAGTGATGGGTCAGCACTGCAAAACATTACACAAAGACAAATCACCAGTGAGCCCTCGACAATGGCTGTATCTCATTTACAATTTTTCGAGTACATTTTCAGATTGTGAGGGAACACGGCTAGGTTTTGTTCATAAACGGCATGCCATCATTTATTTTACTGCCTCATTTGAATATGATGAATACTGTAGCCCTTTATTTGTTCACAACAACCAAATAATTGTAGATCCGTGGGTTTCTGGGCAATTAATCACATTTTTTTCCTCCAACAATCCACTATAAACATGACATTGAACAATAAAGTACATTAACCTCTGCTTTGCACAAAAACTTTGCTTATTTAAACACTGCAAGGGTATGGGCGCCTGTTCTCCTTCAGGATGGATCCCGGAGTGCCTGATGGTGCCCATGGGACAGCACCTGCTGGCGGCTCATGGGATGCAGTGGTGGGGTGAGCATCCTGCTTCCCAAGGGATGGCAGCCCCTGGGGACATGCCCCTGTCACACCTACAGCACTGCCACAGCCGTGACGCTTCCTGCCATTGCCAAGTGATGCTGAGCACACAGCATCCCCCTCGGCTCAGCTGGAGCAGCGCTGGGTGCGAGCAGGGCTGGCACAGAGCCGGGCACGTGCGGGGACGGCAGCTCCCCAGTGATGTACCAGGCACCGGGTGGTTCCTGAATGGCATCTGGCAAATGGAGCTGCGCTGGCAGCTTGGGAACACCGCACTCACTGACAAGGAGCTGATTCCTCTCAAGTGCACTGTGCTGCGGCATCCTCCTGGCAATGGGCACACGGATGGCCATGGCAAAGCTGACCTCAGCAACTGTGTCCGTGTGCTTCCTTGGGAGCAGGGCAGCCACAGGGATGGCAGCCCGTTTGGGATGCAGGGAATCATGTGAGGCTCTTCTGCCTGTGTGATGAAGACTCTCCCTTCAGGCCGTATGTTATTTACGGGCAGGTTCATGTCAGTGAATTTCCTGGCTCCAAAGAAATTGGAAAAAAACTTTGTGTAGGATTCAGACATCCTCTTTTTACAAAAGAAAATCACAGGTTTCCCTGAAATGAGAAGGTGCCATTGCCATGTCCATACATCCAGGTGTCTGTCCTCTGTCCTACTGGATTTCAGCTGACTCTCCTCCTACCCCAGCAGTTGCATGAGGGGCTCACAGCAAGGCGGGGATACTTGGAACCCATCCACTGTGTTAAACCCAAACATATTTTTCCTTCATGTTACTGTTATTTTTACCATTTTGAAAAATCCTGTTTGTGCTTTGTGTCTGGTTTTTGTTGGGCTTTTTTGTTAATTTACCACTGGGGATAGATCCTGCCTGGAAAAAAATGGGAGTGCAGCCACTGTTAAGCCATGAAAAGCAGTGACTGGACCGTTATCTAACACTGTTGTAAGGTTACTATTTATCTAGAGCAACTGAAGTTGGCACTCACATCTGGCGCCTGGTACTTAGTGCAATTATTTATGATTTCCACCAAGATTTAAAAGCTCATCGCCGGCCTTGTAATGCAGTAACTGATTGCACTGCTAATGTAATTAAGAAAAGATTATGATGTCCACGTGGCACACCAGATGGTGGCATTCATAGCAATCGGCACACACAACTGGCAGACAACTGCACAAGGGCAGCGAGGCACAGGCAGCTGGAGCGCTTCACTTTGTACCCTCTGCTTGCAGGCAAGGGAAGGGTTCACATCATTCCTTCCATGGTACCACTGCCTGGCTGCCGTGCCCCTGTGCACCCCTGGACCAGGGTCCTAGTTGCGCAGAGCACCCACGAGCACTTCTGCACATGTAGACGGAGGTCCCTCTTGTTAGGTCCATGCATCCTCTGCTAACGTGTGCCCACACCTTGCACAAGCCCACCTTCGTTATGCCTGGGAAACCATTTGGTAGGAGCAGATCCAATGTGCTGCTCATCATTGCTTCCATCAAAGCTGTCTCCTGGGAAATGGTGACTCTTTCAGCTCCCCAGCGTGTTGGGGGGAATTAACCTGACTTTTTCTTGAGTGAGTGTGGGCAGCATCGTGATGCTGCTGCTGGCCAGGGTACCCAGCCATGGGAAGGCATGAGCCTCTTTGCATGGTATACACCGTGCTGTGGCTATGGCCATGCTATGGAGTTCTTAGAAAGAATTTATCAGGAGAGACTTTATAACAGTTTTCCAATACCTAAAGGGGCTGACAAGAAAGCTGGAGAGGGACTTTTGACAAGGGCCTGTACTGATAGGACAAGGGGAATGGCTTTAACCTGCCAGAGGGGAGACTGAGATGAGCTCTTAGGCAGAAGCTCTTCCCTGTGAGGGTGCTGAGGCACTGGCACAGGGTGCCCAGAGAAGCTGTGGCTGCCCCATCCCTGGTAGTGTTCGAGGCCAGGTTGGACACAGGGGCTTGGAGCACCCTGCTCTAGTGGAAGGTGTCTTTGCCTGTGGCAGGGGTTGGAACCGGATGAGCTTTAAAGTCCCTTCCTACCCAAGCCATTCTATGATCCTGTGTGCTAATTGGGACTGGCCCAACTCCACATCCCTGCAGGGGATCTGGGTTTGGTCCCCTGTTTCTCCTGCCCAAATACTCAGGCAGCAGGAAGGGCAGATACAGGCCAGGCTCGACACAGAAGTCTGAAATCTGCTCCCATGCATCCTCCTGGGACAGAGGCTCTTTTCCCACGATGGAGCTGCATTTAACTCCTGCAGGACAGTTCTGCTGTGCTGCTCCGAAAGCTTGCTTTGGCCAGGGACCCTCCTCCAGGATTTTGCATTCCCTACGAGCGGGAGGTGCTCGTCCCTGACATTGCTGGATCCATTATTCAGGATTAATGCCCATTTGCTTGTTGCACCTTCTGTTGTGGAAATAATGCTGCAGCTTTGACTTGCTTCCAGCAGGGCAATGGAGAAAGCAGAGTTAATACCGTGTCAGAGCGGAGAGGAGAGAGGAGCATTTTTCCTTGGGAGCAGTAATGTATGCAAGGAGCTTGTGTCACCTAAAGCCATTCAACATCGTGCGTCGCCTTCCTTGCTATTGCGTGTGAATTTAATAAAGTGGCTGTGACTCATTCGCTCTCGGTAGTGGAGCTGACATAAGTAAATACGCAGGCTGTAACCTCGCTGGAGGTTTTATACCATCTGTATTTACAATATGAATATTTCAGCGAATTTGACATTTTGGAGACTTCTGTCTCCCAGGTTTAGTGATGACGAGTATGTGGGTCAGGAGTGCTGCAGGTTCACAAGCAGCATCCTGTCAATAATTTAATGCTCCGAGTGCTAAGCAGCGCTAGCAGGACGCACGCCGGCACTGCAGGGTTTGTTGGCTCATTGAGCCAACACAGCTCTGAAGCAACATAAAAACAGTTTTTGATCTCTTGCTGCTGGCCTCTGCCTGAAAAGCATAAAGCAGGAGGCAACCCTGTGGCAGCTATTCTACTAATGTCACCGTAATATGGATGCTGTTTTACTGTCACTTCCAAGATGGAAACAGCAATACACAGGGCCAGATAGGACAAGGCATTTCTCAGCCTATTCCCCTGCTGTCCAGATACGTGATTGTGCAGGCTTCCAGCCACACAAACTCTCCCCCAGTTGCTGCCCAGACCTGACTGGAGCACAATGGGATTCCCATCTGCAGGGGCATCCCGAGGACTTCAGGAGGTTTAATCTCTGATTAGTTTAGGTGTTTTTTATCAACATAAGGTCAGAATCTCCAGTCACTGTGCCACTGGAAAGGGCAGGCAGGGTGCCCTGAGCATGGCAAGAACTGGGGTTCCTTCAGTGGGCTGTCACAGCAACACCCAACCTCCTCTGTCCCTCTGAGAACAGGCACAAGTCATCACACCTATGGGAAATGTCAGCATTTCCTGGAACGCTCCACCCAGAGCCTAGGGCACTAATTGTCCTAATGGCTGTGATGAGCCCCATCTGGGTCAAGCACCCACGGAGCCCATTTAAGCTCAGCTCTTGGGTACTTAGCTCTTGCCTGAGCTGTGCTGGAGCAGACTTAGGCCTCACAGACTCTGTGGATCCAGCCCCTAACTGGCTTGGCTTTGGCCCTGCATTGTCCCCATGGACATGATCTGACCTGTGGGTCAGCTTCCCAGCTTGGCCTGTCTCATCCCATGGACTTTCCAGATGGTTGGATGAGGACCTGACCCTGGCCATGGCAATCCCTGCCTGCCTCCTCTCTGGTATCTATGGGGGTCCCTGCCCCACTGCCTCAGCAGGGCCCCAGCATCTCTGTGTGTGCACGTGCTTGCCCAAGCACTTACTGCCCTGCTGCTACCCTGGGGTACAGGGACCTGCTCCCAACCCGAGCTCTGAGAAGATGCTTGTTGGTGCCTGTTGGCTGGCACAGCGCCAAGGCTGATGCATGGGCTCTTCCCCTCCTTGGCGGGCAGAGTAGCACCGACAGGAGAAACAGAACAGCCAAGAAATGAAATACAGGGTAAGTTACTGCAGTAAATCCCATGGTTACCTAAGAGACAGAGGCAGCAGAGCGTCCTGCAGCACGGTCTTTGACAGAGAAAGAAGAAACTGAACAGGTCTTCCTGTTAAACTCAGGTGAGGTTTTTTTCCTCTCTTCTAAAACATTGTTCTTAAAATATTTACACTAAAAAAATGCACCACTTTCCATATGAAAGCTGTGCTTGGCACAAGCATCCTCTCAGCTAGAAAGGAGCTGGAAGAGCCCTTCTCTTTCCAATGTCAGCTCGTCATTGTGTTGTTGATGCACATTATACACCCTGAAAGCAAAGCTGCTCTGGCTTTGCATTGAGCCTCCCTTTGGTTAGCAAGAAAAGGATGATTTCGGCAGCAGGGGAGCGGTCCTGCTTCAGAAGTGTCTGTGCTCTCAGGATGTGCTTTGAGGGATCCACAGGCCTGTAATTCTGGAACAAAACCCTCAAAACTTACGTGGGAGTAAATGCAAAGCTGGAAAGAAAGCAAAGTGGGATGTCAAATTATGCATTCAAAGACTGGCTTCTCATTAGTGATGCTGGGTGATCTGTAGATTCTCCCATCACATGATACCCATCCTCCTGTACTTCCCAACATTGCAGAAATCCTTCTGAGGGAGCTGCATGATGTGTTTCATTTTGTTTTATCTGCCCCTTTGCAAGGATCAAGTGTGTTTTTCTCAAGGGATCCTATAGATGTGATGCTTCTGGTACTGGTAAAGTTGGGAGGATGTTAAGCAGGTGCTGAGTGTGCAGTCTCTTCCCTGCAATAACTGTAGCTGCCTGCACAGGAGGCTTTGCCTGTGGTTGCACTGTGGTGCTTGGAACCTCCTGGAAGAGTCAGGGCTTCTGCTTCCACTGCTGGTCATGGTGGGTTTAGGTTTTAACATGAAGACCCCATTTCTGGTCCTGGGCCTCAGCTGTGTAATTCATCAGGGTGCTGTGATGCCCTTGGGGAGGTGACCTTGTGTCTGGGGACAGCCTGGCGAGGCTCCCGCTGTTCCTGCTGGCTCTTCATTAAGGATATTTGGATTGCAATTTTTCTGATCTCCCAGTGATGCTGTAATTGTCCAGTTATGACTGGCTTTGGCACCGTTATCCACACTGAGTCCTGTTAGACGGATGGGAAACTCGCTGGGGTGCTAATGTGCACAAGCTGCAGTAGCCAAGGAGCCAAGCAACAGTGTCTAATGCTGCCAGCTGGCCTGGGAATTGCAAAGAAGGGAGCCGACGTGCTCTTATCAGAGGGAATAGAGCCCTTGGTATTACCTGATGCTGCTATGGTCCTGCACACACTGTGATGGTGGGAAGCAGGGCAGGGAGGATGACTTGGGGCTGAAATGGGGGCATTAATCCTCTGGCTGCAGCAGTTAAACCACTATGTTAACTGTTTCCTTTGGTTTAAAAGGAATGAAAGGTGCTGGCTGTGGCCCTGCTTTGGGGAGTTTGAAGACCAGATTTTGGGGATCCAAACGGAGAAGGGACACAGAAAAAGCCTTGCAAAGGCAGCTGAACTGTGACCGACTTCCCATTGCTGCCTGCCAACTGGTCACCGATTAACTCATTCCCTGGCATTCCTCTGGGCAAACACCCAGTCATCTGAATGCTATTTGCTGCCAGAGTGTTCCTCTGGCAGCAGCTTTGCAGCCCTGACAGACACCATGGATTTTTCCCTGCACGTATCCGTAGGGAATGTCTTGGCACAGCAGCAAGCAGTGTGCCGGCCCAGGCCTGGGGCAGCACTGGGGGATGGCACTGGGACAGTGCCCACCCTGAAAGCAAGGCAAGCAGTAGCATTTCATCAGAGGAGATTTGCAAAGAAAACATTATTTCCTCAAATGTGTTCATCATTCAAAATTATTCAAGCAAAGGTTTCCATCTCGCTGTGGCTATTATTCATAATATGGGAATCTGGATGTGTGGCTCTCCTTGGTAATTAAGCTGCATGGAGGTTTTTTCTGCCCTCCATTTGGGTGGAACAGCAGCTGTACCTCAACCCTGGGATTGTCTCTGTGGAACAAATAGGGCTGGTCCTGGCTGCAGGGCCTTGAAACAGGGATCGTGAATTCAGACTTGTGCTGTTAAATGGTGCTGACATCCTGTGCACCTCAGGGCAGTGGCTCCCTGTGACTCAGGCAAGTGATGGGTGCTTTGGGCCCTGGTTTCCTTGTCCTGGGAGGGGGGCTGGTGAAAGTCCCTCCTCCTTGACCACCTCCTCAGTTGAGCAATTCCTTGAACCCCTTTAGGAGGAGCAAGCTAAATGCCTGTCCTGATGGGAGCAGTTACTGGGCTCTATGTAAATCACAGTTCTCCCTAGCAGTGTCATATGTACATCATAACTGAAAGGGGGACTAAAATACAAATGTGAGGACTTACTTGTAGTAAATAGGTGTTATTTAATAACAACTGTAAGATAGGAAAGCAAACAGGAAATGAAAAAATAGTGGCTTTTCCAGATCACTTTTTCTGTTCCAGAGTGGATCCCTCAAACAAGAAGCTCGGAGCAATTTTCTGCAGAGGCTATTTTGATAACTTTCCAGGCGTTGCTCACTCATGACCCATGAGTGTAATGCTCCAGGTAGTGAATACACTTGCAAACAACGTTTTCCTAAACACGTGTGGTGGGAATGGAGGAAGCTGGCTGCCAGCCAGAGCCGGTTCCCATGCAAGGTCCTGGAAACACACTTGCGGGCACCAGCAGGATGTTGACCTGTGTAAGTTCCTCCCCTGTTCTGGGGTGTCTGATGATCCCCTTGGGGAGAAGGGTCAGAAAACCAGGACCCTGCTTGCCTCTGTTCAACGCCCACCAGTCTCTGATCCCATCCACTTGTGGTAAGGATGCATCACTCTTGTACCCCACATCTGTGTGGTACCCTGGGAGGGACTTGCCCCAGTGTGTGAGCCTGCCAAAGCTGCGACATGGTGGTGGCTCCACCACTCCAGCTGTGTGCTTCTGACTGCAGCAAGCGCACATGCAGGCTCATTCCTTTGGGGCTGCCATTAAGTCACTGACCCCGCAGACATTCTTCTAATTCAGAAGCTGGTTAAGCATGTGCTTGAGCCTGAGCACTTGCTTTTAGTGCTTCCCTGACCTAGAGCTAAGTGAGGAGCTGATAATACTAAATACAGCTTTGTCCTTTTGTATGCAGGCTCCTGAATGAGCTGCAGCATCTCCTGGGACTCAGAGCTGCAACACAAGCATGAGGGACCATGCATGGGAGTCATAGCTGCAATAGAAGCATGAGGGATTGAGCACTCTGCTGTAGGGCCATCCACACTTGAGGTCCAAGATGGTGCTCCTGGCCCCAGAGCACCTTGTCCACCAGGTAGGACAGAAACACTGATGAGGATGCACAGCTCAACGGGCAGGGCTATTTATTCTCTGTACTGATATCCCAGCTGGAAAAGCTTCCTCTGGGGCAGGCTGGAGCCCAGGGGAATGGGCAGTCCCTGCCTGTTCAAAAGGTCTGGGATCAGTGTGGGGGCCTTGACATGGGGTTTGCTATGATGGGAAATTTATGAACATTTCGTAAATGTGTTTTACAGACAGCTCTAAGTATGTGCTGAGCAATGCTTGTTCTGTCAAGAAACCCTGGTTACAGGGTTATATCCAGGCCACTTAAATATTATGTTCCATAATATAATACATAGTGGGGCTGAGCGTTGCAGCTTTGTGCTGTAAAGAGCCCTGTGTATGCTGCAATCCTGCATTGGCAAGGTAAAAACTTGCCGCTATTATAGAAGTGGAGGTTTAGCCCTGCTGCTGTTGATCTGCAAGGGCAGTGCTGTGCCCCGGGCACTGGGGACTGCTGAGGACACAAGGATGGAGGGTCACAGGGTTTCTGGCAGATCTTGCCTGAGTATTGCTAGAAACAAAACCACACAGAGCCTTCTCAGGGAGCGATGCATATGGGCAGCCACACCTTTTCCACTTAGAGGTACCTAAATTAAGGGAGATACAAGGCCCTTCTCATTCCTTTTAGGAAAGCCAAGTTTAGAACAGGAATATAGAAGGGAAATTGTAGCTGTAAAGAGACATTCTGGTGCACTAAGAGGTAGCTTAACAAAAAGCCAGGCAGTAGCTGAGCCTCCACCTGCAGCAGCTCCAGCATGAAATTAAACTCTGGGCTGATTTTTCTCTAAAGGCAGGCATGGAAAAAATGGTACGTGCAGCAGTATTTCATTGCTACATGAAATGTGGTGACAGAGAGGAATTCCTGCAACATAAAGGGTTTTAAACAAGGACTTGAGCTGACGGTCAGGATGAGGATACAGGATCCTTTGTGGGTTGTCCCCCGGGATCCTATTTGGTGGTGAAGCCTGACCAGTGCTTGCAAGGAGTTCCTGCTCCACACAGAGCTGGGCCAGTGTCCCCTGCACCAGCCCTCAGTGCTGCACACCCCATTCTGGCATCAGTGCAGCACCATCTATGCTGTGCCTTACCAAGTGAGCTGGGAGCAGCGCATCACAGGCTGCACCACAGACTGTGCTTATAGTAAATGAGGAGTCTGCATTTTATTCTGCACTGCGCTGCTCTTCAGAGGTGTTATCTGGGAATGGACAGTTTTTACTGTTACAGGAAGCTTGAAATGTAAAGAGGGTGGTGGGGCTCAACTGCAATCTTTTATCTCAGTCCAGTCTCTCCCCTAGGAGCAGATTTAGCAGCTCCCCTGTGGTATGTGGGAGACACCACGATACTGACTCTGTTTTCTGTTCTGGAGGATGTGAATCCTGGTGTCCAGCTACTCGGCGATGAGGGAGCTGTGTTCATTCAGCCACAGCTCCAGCACTGTGGCCAAGAGTGACTGAAATTCCTCTTATTCAGTGTCCTGAAAACAAGACACTGGCTCAAACTGGACAGTGTGTAAGTGACTGCCAAACTCATAAGAAAATACATGCTCTCAGTAAATAAATGCATTTTGAAGAAGCTTTATGGAAAATATTCAGAGGAAAATGTTATACTTGCAAACACTTACGCTTTTGAGTAACTTTACATTGGTAGATTAACCAACTCCAGTTCAGTTATTCATGTATCTAATACCAAGTGCACAAGTATTTGCTGATTCAGAGCCTGTGCTTATGCTCTGTGAACGATGATGATGGTGCCTTTCCCCAGCCTCTGAACTCTGACAAGGTTTAAAGGTCTCTGCAGGCAGAAGGGCTGGGAGTTTGCCCTGAGCTGTGCAAGTCTATGAAGCTTTCTCAAGCAGCTTCTCGGAGGGTAAAACTGGAGCAGCAGCTAAACTGTGCTGGCAAGTGACTGTCTCCTTGGAAAAAGTGTTATTACAGATCATGCCACAGACATGTTGGGATATATGTTTGCAGTGAATCTTAGAATATTTGGTGGATACTAAGCAGCAATTAGAGTCTTCCTTTGGAATCAATTCATTTCCTACTGCCATGGTAGCAGGGAGGATCTTATTGAAACTCTAGGATTTTTAATATTATTACACTAAAGACTCTCTCAGTATCAGCATCTCCGTGGGGGAGCATTAGCACACTGTAATGTGTAACACCATCTCCAGTTCAGGAAATCTTGTTGTATTTCTAATAGGGCATGTGGGGCATATATTATGTATGGGACATATATTTCTCATTTCCACCAGGCATCATCCTTCCTTCTCTCTAAATTACTCTCCAAATAATAAAAAAAAAAGCATTGTATTCCTTATTGCTCAAAATACATATTTTTTTTTTAATCTTTAGACCCAGAAGCCACTACCAGCCATCAGGGCTGTATGCGCTAGAAGCCAGAAAGCCTTGGTCGAGTGGTAGGGAACAGAACTGTAGTTAAAAATACCCAGTTATCACCATGGCTCAACAAGCACCAGTCTAAAATGGTTTACTGGAGAGAACCACCAGCCAGAACAGGTTTGGCCTCAACCCAGAGCTGCATCCAGGACTAAACGGGATACCAAGATCCTGCTGCTGCAGGACACTTTGCTTTATGGACAGGAGTACAAAACCACTAATGTGCCTGTTGCTCTCCAGGCAAGCCTCTCAAATACACACTAATCAAAGCTTATAGTGTTTCTCTTGGTAGTAAGTCTAACCACACCAGAATGAAGAGCAAGGAGCTGGAACAACAGAAGGGCTGCTTGTTCAACCGCTCCTCTCAGCTCAGCCTGGCTAAAGGGAGGTAGATAGAGAGTCCAGCTAAGGTGGAAGAAGTAAACAGTCATCCTGGTAGGAAAAGAACAGGTTGAAGAGAGCTCCTCAAACGATGAGCAAATCTGAACAAAAAGATATGGGAGAGGGTGAGGAAATCAGTGAGTTAGTGGTGTAAAGGCAGAATATCAGGAAAGGAATCACCCTGTAACCACAAAGACGGATGCTCCATTAAATGTACCTTCAGGTGGCACCTGATTTTGTTAGGGCAAAAGAGGACAACTGGGAGGAAATTTGGGTGACATCTGAGTGAGATCTTTCTCATCTTATAAATCAGAGGCCACATTTCCAGCACAGAGGAAAATGTGGCTCTGAGCAGGCAGCATATCAAGGAACACAGAGGAAACCAGCTCCAGAAGGGACCTAGGAGACTGTCTTGCCTGGTCCCTGCCCCGAGGGGATGTCAGATAAGTGCTTTCAAGGTGACCAGTGAGATAAAGACTCCCCAAGTTGTTTGACTGTCTTTGCTATACTGAAGTTTTTCACCATATCTTTGCAGGATCTCTTGCTGTACTTCACACCCATCACCTCTTAGTCTGTCAAGGATTGAAGGCTACTGCCCTCCCCTTTAATTTACCTACAAACTAAGGTGTTTTCCTCCCTCCTTTATTTCATTCTTCACCCCAGGATTTTTTTCTTTTTCTTTAGATTACTAGCTCTTTCAGTCCTGCATCAAAGACCATTGGTATCAACCCCTACACCACTCTTGCTGCTTTCCAGCTTATTGCTGATGACCTTCCTTCAGTAA